ATCCACTGATGCCCTGGGAGATCCTCACACAGTCCCATCAACGTGCTTTGACGTGACAGCACAGGGGCTGACAACCCCATCCCTTCACTCAGGCAGGCTTGGCCCAAACCCACGTCTGTTCAGAAGGGAGAGGAGGCAGGATGCCAGTATTTAGACAGCCACTTAATATGTGGGGACCTGTTTTCCATGCCCTGATTAATTGGAACTGACCACCGAGGGCAAAGCCTCCTAGATGATTCTACAGCATTTGACCCCTGTTTAGAGGCTTGATTGCTCTGGACTTCAATATGTGCCAGCAAGCTTGATGCCTTGGAGGTCTTTATCTGTATTCTCTGTGCCTCAGTTGCCTGTCTGTAAAACAGGAAGGCTCACAGGAGTGGTTTGAGGAGGAATGTGTTCATTGGGATGATATCCAGGGAGATGGCAATGTGGTATCATCTGCAGACATCCACACCAAGGTAGCAGCTGTGCAAGTGTGTGCCAGGGGAGCTTTATTATAAGACACACAGCACAGGGGCCTTCCATTTTACAGCCCTTCATGTGAGTCAATTAATCAGTTTAAATTTTGTAGGCTTTTCTGGTTGTTTTTTTCTCCCAACCCTCCCTTTAATTAGACTTACAAGGGCTGGGCAAGTATTTTCTTTTTGGACTAGGCCTGATTCATTTGGAAATAAGACTTGAGGATGTTCTTGGCTTGCAGACAGCCTGAAGCATTAATGAAGTTGATAAAACATCAAGACCTAGCTCAACCTCATTTTCCATCTTTGAAGCATCACCCTTGGCTCTCCCATTCATGAAGTTCACTGTGCACACTTGCAGGGGGGTGACTGGCATTGCCTTTTGATCTACAAACAAGTGTTATTTAAGTGTAATATGTTTTTCTTCCCAGTGTGGCAAGGAGGTGGTGTACAAGAAATATGTACAAATGTCCTCATGGTTCTCATTAAGGTTCCCACTTTTAGCAGTGTTTTGAATCTGGACTGTATTCCCAGGCAGCTCAGTCTGTGACAGTAAACCTGTCACAGACAGGTTGTGACAGTGAGAGGAAGGATCAGCTCTGCTTGGTTCCTACACAGTTGGTTCAGCTTTCTACAACCTCAGTGTTTTGTCTCCAGTCTTTCAGCTGAGAAACACAATTTGTGACACTCCCAACCTTACTCAGATCAGCCTCTCAGTGTCTGTTACCTTCAAGGATAGTGCCATGGTTGTGTCTCTCTCTTTCCCCCGTAAAGTCATACAAACAAAGTGATTGTTGTGAAAATATCATCCAACAAGCATTGAAGCAGCAATAATTATTCTCCCAGTCAATTGGAGCCTTTTCTAAACGCATTACAGTGCTGGACAAATGACTAATTAGACAAGACTCGTACTGTCTGTTTTTCAAAAGTATGTTTTTTCTGTATGTGTTACTGAAGGGACAGATTCACAAGAGTTTCTTTAGGGAAGATGCAGGGGAATGTTATAGAGAGTAAGTTCTATGACAGAATTAGCAAATGTATTAAGTACAGTGCCAATCTGGTATAGCAGAAATGACTAAATACCCATCAGGGCCTGTCACTCGTCAAGAAGTGAAATCTTAGACCCATTTAAGTCAATGACAAATGTTCACAGAATCTGGCTGCAAGTTAATAAATGTTTGGAGCCTGTATAACTCAAACTCTGATATTTGTCAGATTAATTATTTGACTGATCTTATTGTGTGTCAAACAATTTCTTTGTGGAGTTAGAATGCTTTGTGTTGCATTATCTATAATTTTGATTAAGAAAACATCATGCAAGTATATCACTGCAAGTTTTATATCAGGTCATAGAGAGTTACTATATACAATATTAAATAATATAACTAAATATGGGATTGTAAAGTGTTCAAAATGGGCCATGGTTGAGGCTGTATTTTATGCCTTATTTTTTGACATTTCCTGATTTAGAAGGACTTTAATATTCAACCTGAACTTTCTTTTATCATATTCTTTTTGTTAAGCTACATTTATGTAAAAGGAAAGAAAATAACTCTACATGTACAGCAATTCCTTCAGCTTACACTTGCCTTTAATACAAAAAAGAGGATTTCAGGACTATATACATCAGGTGTTTTCAGCAAAGTAGCAGCAGCAAATCATAGACATTTGTCATTCCTTGGAGCTGTCTGACAGTTCTGACAATTCATTAGGCTGGGCTGAAAAGAGGTTTAGAAAGCAAAGGAAGGATCACAGGTAGTGGACTTGCCTTTGCATGATCCAGTAATAGCTGATTTGTATCATTTTTGGTGATGGATACACTCTTCAGATTAAACTCAGCTGAATTTTCCCCATTTATTCTTTTCTTTTTCTTTCTCTTTTTCCTTCAACAGCAGCTCCTTTCTGGGCACGTTAGTCTAGATTTAGACCTCGATTTATCCCCAGGAGTAGATGCTCAGGAAATTCTTCCTGGAGCCTCCTGATATTTGTGGCTTTTCAGAGCTAAGGAGAAGTGAAGTGAGTTTTGCTATTCAGCTTCTACCTAGTGAGGTTTTTCTTTTTCAGTGTGTTTGAGTTGCATTCTTTGCTGCGGCCGTACCATGACATGTGCCATTCTTCAAAGTCAGAGTCATTCCTGCCAGGATCTATGCAAATCAAACTTGTGACTTTGTGCAGAGATAAGTGCCTCCATTATCCCACTCCTTGCACTTACTGATTTGCTTTTGAGACTCGTACAAAAGCAATTTTTTGACTTGAAGGCAAATCCTTTGCAATAACGCTGAATCCGCAGAATAGGCCACCTGGAAAATATGTGATCTTCCATTGGAAAGCATTTCCCTTTTCCAGGTTGGTGGGCTGTTTCAAACCACACGACCATGTAAAATGCCTGGGTCAGAGTCTGAGTGGGTGAGGCGATGCTGTCCGGCCAGGGAGCATCCCTGGGGTCAGGCAGATGATGGTCCCCAGGAGCAGCAATCTCAGGGAGCCTGCTCAGCCCTGCAGAGGATGAATAGCTTTCCATCTTCATTCTGTCTGTTTTATAGCTGCCACAGAAGAAGCAGTCAGAGATTGAGCCTGACCCAGTAGTATTATATGTAGGTCTTACAAGAGCAATATTTGCTCTTGATGACCACTGGAACATAGTCCTTTAAAGAACCCCAAAATAACCCTAAAAGAAGGGCTTTTTGGGGCTGTTTTGTGGGGTTATTTTTTAATATGTGAAGTTTTTCAGACCCTCAAAACCATCTGTAAATTCTAAGTACTTCCTAATTTGTACCATTTTATTTTTCTTTAAGTTTCAAAGTGTTGACAGCACTGCCTCACCATCCTTCTTGGGCACAACTCCTTCTTCAAGTTAAAGTTTCCTACCTATCTTGGCCAAATAGAGAGACTCAGACCAAGGTTTTAGCTGAGCAAAATTATCTCAGCCTTCTGCTTCTTCCAATCTGTCTTTATGGTCCCAATGTCAGTCTCTTTCCATCAGAAATACAGGCATTTCCCCATGATCTCAAGTGCAGGACTGGTCAGTATAAAGCAAATAAATGACACTCGTGGATGTTGGATCATGTGTCACCTTGTCTGATTTGCCTTCAGATTTGTTGGTAGGTTTTTGGGGGGTTTGCAGTGATTTTGGCAGTCAGCTTTGAGTGGCAGGCTGTACGTGTTGGTTTATAATTCCGGAGTTGTGAGTGTGGGTTGAACTGTTGGCATTAATTATTTTCAATAGTGAGTCAGAGGCTGAATTACAGGATCCTACCCATGGATATGAGAGAAAACAAAGAAACAAGCGGCCTTCCTCTCCCTCCCCTGACATAAGTCATATTTTGTCTCCTATGACCTCAACCGGCCCTTTAAATTTCATATCAAACATTAGAAAGAAAGAGGTCAAAGTAAGAGCCCCGCTGAAAAAAACCCACAGCCAACCCAGATATGAACTATGGGAACTTGTCATCTTATCATCCTAATTGAAGTCATTCTGCAATGTATGACAGTCCATCATATATTCTGCCAGTCAGTGTGTCATACATGATGTGTAACAAGAGAGCTCATAAACCCAGAGGGGAAGCCCCTTCTTTTTTATTACTTTATTTGATCATTTTCATAAAAAGTCCCCTTGCTCAATACAGAGGGACGTGTTTATTAGCCCCATTAAAGCTTTGTCCATTCATTTGACACTATGATTTACACAGCTTTACCACAAAAGAATCCCATTATTTCCAGTGTGGGGAGGTGTCTATTTTATTGTGTGATGAAAAATAAGTATTTAATTCCACAGGTGAAGGCAAAGAAAGGGGAGGTTGTTGTCAGAGGCTCAGAAGTAAACAAAAGGATGCTTTAGGTATAATTGATTCAGAGAAAGAAAACATTCCCAGTAAATATAGAAAAATAAATAAATAAAGATGCTCTTCCCATGGAGTGGGAATTTAACTGGGCTCAGCTGAACTTTTTTTTTTTTTTTTCCTTCATTAAAAACAGCAGAATTTGGCAAAATTTCCCTCTGTGTTCTACTCATGAATGTTTCTAGAAAATATCAGCTTTCATACGCAAATATTCTTGAAGTGAAATTGGTGGCTTCCTTTGAACACAGCTAGTGCCTCAAATCCCATCTGCTTTTCCTACAACACGCCCACTCATTATCTAGCTTATTTGGCTTTATTTTATTTTTTTTTAAATGAACACAAATTAAGCTATTTAATCAAATATGTACATGATTACATGGCATTTTTGCATAAGAGTTATACACCCACGGAAATCATTAATCACAGATAACAACACTATGTTAAAATTAGACATTTTGTTTTCTTTTTGTGTGTGTGTGTGCTTTTTAACATAATATCCTGCGTAGCTCTAATTTCACCTCTACTCTCATTTGAATAAATCAGGATTGTTTTACAACAAATTATTCATTTGTCTGTGGCTCTGATAATTGGTATTTATGTTTAGACTTGATCTCAGAGGAATAAAAATACAGAACTTGAAAATAAAATTGGTATGGTTCAAATCCCTCTTTTTCTTTATCATTTTCCCATTTTTTGCTTGCAGAGAATGTCACCATGAATGTCCATTGGCAAACTGGATAAGAAAGAGTGTCACAGTGCAGGACAACCTAGAAGATGACAGGTATTTCCAGGCATAGCAATGATGAGATCAAATTCCCCTCAACCTGCCTTGTTTGCTGATCTTTTAATCAGATTCAACTTCACTGCAGCTATAGCACAAGGTTCCCTGACAATGTATGACAGCATGTGACAGAAAAATATATTTTTTTTTTGGCCATTTGATGGTATTTGAGATAAATCTGAAGCCCCAGCAGCATCTGCTAAATCTACCAAACTACTTTAGTGGAGGTTTTTAACTATTCATAATTGAACTGGAGGGTTTGTGTTCGTGTGTTTGTAGTGGAATCCAAACAGGAAAGCTGGGAAATGATCTAAACCCTTTGAGGTTAACCTGCTATGAAAGATCATCAATGACAGAAGAGGACATTATTAAAAAGGAGCCAGCCTCACTCAAAATGAACCACTGTGTGAAGCCAAAGCCCAAAGAACAACACCCAGGGCTGTTTGTGGTCCCGCAGGGATATGTATTTCATCCCTCATCTTCATCTCTCCAAACTTCCTCTGAACTGCTTCTGAGCTGAATTCTTGAGAAAGAAAAACAGCAAATTTTGAATGGAACTTATCAAACTTTTCCCTACAATCTGCTTCGTATTCCTCTCACAATCATGTTCTTGCAGTGTCTTGGGGAGATGCTTGGATCAAAGATAAGAGAGAACAAGAAAAGGAATGAAGAGAGAAACAAACAACAAAATAAAAGCAGCACCCCCCAAACTTCTTGATGAAACTCCTCTGCGAATCGAGTGCATGGTTACAGCAAAGTTAAAACTGCCTTCTTCTTCACCAGCATTTAATTCCTGCTTTTAAAATCAGGCTCCCTTTGATCTTGAGGACTGAAATGATCTGGAAATGAAACAGCCAGTGCTTTGCAGAAAATCTGGAGAGGGTCCCAGACATGGCTTTTACCTGGAAGGCTTCCAAAACAGGATGAAATCTCTCTGGTTTCAGAACAAATTGCAAGATTTTTTCTCTATGTCTAGTCCAACTGTGGAACTCTAGCCCTGATGTCTGCTGCTTCCCAAAGCACAGATGTAATAACCTCTGAGGTGAAATGAGAACGTTATTCCCCCATCTTCTCCCCTCTGCCTCCCCTCTGAGGGTTGAGGGCTGAGAGAATTTTATTAAAGTGAAGGCTTAAAGTTTTGGGCAGACTTAATTTGAGGAGACAGTTGGTTATAACCCAGGCTAGGGCCATCCATGTGGAGGTTGGAGAGGACAGAGCTCCAGGAGCATCTGTGACATCTGGATCCTGTTGAAAGCTCAGAAATATCTGCCTGGCTTCATGTGACCTGGCCTCAGAGCCAAAAGGGCTGAGAAATGTGGTTAAGAAACTGCAGCAAGCTCTGCCCTAGCAAATGAGTCCCACTGAGAAAGCAAGCACATCAATATTTCTTTGAGTCTGTTTCTTTTAGTGAATATATTTCCATATGTTGCATTAATATTTCTTTTATTGGGGCTTGTGAGCCCATCTGGTATTTGTATTGGGAGGGCTTGAGCTGGCAGATCCCTGTGCTGCTGTTAGACACAGATCTGGACAGCCCTTGCAAGGACGGGTAGGTGGTTGGATAGGGACAACATCTCCTCAGCTGCCTTTTTAATTGGATAAACTTCTCAAATCAGTCAAGATAACCAGGTTACTTCTTGTCAATTAGTTCCCACTGTGCCAAAGTTACAACATGGGCTGTGTATAAGGTATAGCAGTCCACTGTAAAGAAACCTCTCAGACACTGTACAGTGTAACAGCTCTGATCTAGGTGGTGCAAAGGAGGAAAGATACCTGGGCACCAATAGTAAACAAAAAATGTGCTGAAATACCCCAGTTTGCCAGGACAATAAGAATCACTTTCCTTTGCAAGTATTATTAAGGAATAGGGGAATAATTATCTGCTTTAATACAAGCTTTTTCCTTCTGCATGATTAACTTCAGTGATATCAACAGAGAGTGTGATGACTCTGAAATGACAGCTCCTGGTAGCACGTTCTGGGATTAGCAAAAACAGGTTGTCACTGTACCCCAGTCAGGAGCAGGCAGTCGCTGTGTGCCCAGGGCTGGGCAGCAGAGCCGTGTTCTGCAGCAGACATCTGACAGCCCAAGTGGGCAGCAGGTCCAGCCTCCTGCCAGGTGGCTCCCAGGTCGGGCGTGCAGGGCTCTGCTCCTCCAGGAGATTGGATTTCCTGAGGCAGCAGCGTGTGATTTTGGCTGTGCAGCTTCCAGACTGAAAGCACTGCGTGCTCCTCGTGCTAAGCTGTGACTTGCTCTGTTCTGTGCACAATGCACTGAGCTGATTTTAAAATATTGTGTACTTTTAAAATGCCTGGCTCTAATGCCAGTCCTGTGTCTGGCTGCTCAACGTGCGAAGTGACAGCGCACGCACCAGCCCCTGGAGGGGATGGAGAGAGAGGTAGGACAAACACGCCAGAGCTCTGAGCAATGGCATGAAACAACAAAAAGAATCCTTTCATTCTTACTAAAGTTGCAAAAAGTCTGTCATGTCTTCTGTAGAAATTAATCAATACATGGAAAACTGCATAACAACTGTGGGGGCAGCAAGAATCTGTCTATAAATTAAAATACTGTGAGTTTCCAGAGCTGACTGGGGAAAGCACTGGGGTTGCTAACAGGGCTCTGGAGCCAGGACAGAGTCCATGGAATTGGATCCTTCACTACAGTCCATGTTTTGTCAATGTCAGGATACATGAGAACTGTAAAACAAAGCAAATTGTATGTTTGGAAGGAAACTTGAAATTTAGTCCGGCATCACATTCATTTGAAAATTTCATATTAATAAAAAAAAACAAAAATGAAATGTCCATATATTTTAAAGAAAAATAGGAGGTGAAAAGATTAATTCCCAAAATCTGTGAAATATACAATGATGAGTTACTGAGGGCTGCAGTGAAGGGGGGTGTTTTTGTAATTCTGTAGGCATCTCAGTCCTCCGGTGAAATGATGTATGGGGCAATCGTCTGGTAGGGGCTGATGGGATGTAAATGAAACTAATTAAGGAAATGTCAAACATAATTAATAAAACAGGTTTAAGTTGCAAAAGCACTGTCAGCTGAATGAATGGGGAAGAATGCCTCATTCCCATTGTTTTGGGGCTTGCTTGCTTATTTATATATTTATATATTTATTTTTTCCTTGCTCACCCCTTTGCCCTCCCAGCAGCTTTTTCAGTTGCACCATTCAATTAGATCTCAGAAAGCTCTTGGTAGCCTCTTGCATTTTCACCTTGCCCCCCTTGTGAGCTGGGGTCCCACAGAATAGGAGGAATATAAATTTGCCTTGTCGGCTTGCAGCCTGGGAAGAAGAAGGAAAAAAAATTAATTGCTAACTCCTCGTCTTCCCCAAGTACTACAGGACATTAACATAACCAATTTGCTTGAACTCCTCACTGGCTGCTTAATAGAGCATCTGACCAGCTGATAAGACCTGGGTGCTGCTGCCTATGATACCTTGTTATTAGCATTTTCATAATATTCAAATTTACAGCCCCATGATTCACTAGCCTCCATTCATTATTGATAAGTACAAAAAATAAATAAAAAGGGTTTATAAATAGCAAAGGGGGGTGAGCGACCTATAATTATGGCAAGCAAATTAGGGTGCATGGTAGAGTCAGTTACATTTGCCTAGGAGTAATGATGCTCAAGAACTTTTTCTCCCCAGGGACCAGAAAAATAATGGATTCCCTGGCAGCTGCAGATGGGCCAGGAAAGGCTGTCACCCAGGACGCTGTTTATATAAGTTAGGCAGAGCATATGGCTCGGTGTCCTGCCTGTAGCCACCTCCAGATATTGCAGTTTCAATGGAAAGAAATAAATACATAAATAAAATTAGCCCCTCGCTGGAAGGTGGCGGTGCAGGGATATGAGGAGGAGGAGGAGTGGAGGGGAGAAAAAAGCAAACAACCAAAGGGAGTCTGCTCAGAAGTTTCTGTCGAGAGCAACCCCAGCAGCTCAGGGATCAAGTAGGGGTGATAGCCTTGAAGCCAGAGGCTGTTTAGCTGCATCAGTGAAGAGAGAAAGATGAAATGTGATTTCTGCTAAAGCAAAACCTTTCCATGTTGCAGTCCAAGACAGTCAAACACAAAAGCTTTGAGCCTGAGATGATAAAAATCATGGTCCCAGTTGAAAGTAGGAGCTACTAGAAATAACCACTGGATACTTTATAATTTAGACCCTGTGGTTCTATTTCCATTAATCCAATCAAAGGCCTTTTTTTCTTTCCTAATGAAACTAGAATGAAACACAAAAGGGAGGCTGACCTGTTAGCAGGTGACTGTTTCTTGTAAGTTATTCATTAAAAACACCCTAATGTTCTGGTGCTGAAGGAGGCTGTGCCTACTTCTATATAAATTAAACATAAGTGAGTTGGTTGAAAGGCAAAAAAAAAAGGTATTTCTCCTGACTCCCAGTCCTTGTACAGTATGCATGTAGAGGAAACAGCCCTTGCAGACATTTGCTGTGGGCTGGGGACTTTTATGTACCATCTTCACCCAAATTTTTCAATTCCAGGTAGCTCCAATTTTACTGTGGGCATGAATATTATCAATACAGTGCAGTCAACATACTCTAGATAAGATAGGAATGAGCCTTGGTTTAGCTCTTCTTGATAAAGCCAAAGTAGGCTCAGAAATAAAAGGGAAGAACTTTGGCAGGAAAACTGCAGTTGGGATGTTTTCACACTTTGATTTTTTCTTTACTAAGATTAATTAAATTATTAGTGAATCTGTGTCGATTTGCATAATACTATCTTTCTATTCTGAAATTTGGATAATGTGCCACTGGCATTTCTTGTCAAGATACTGTATCTGAAAACACCAATTGGCCTGCAAATTTCCCAGCCACTTTTTTACTTTTTCCTGTGTTAATTTTGGATTCTCCCAGCACTTCTATTGTGCAGCAATGTTTACAAATATCCACTCTGGACTGCAGCCATGTCTGAATTTCCAGTTCTTGAGAACTTTCCTGCATCTTCACAAAAAATGAAGAGAGGATATTTATTAGAGCAATCTTCCAATTAGCCCCCCTCAACAGCCTGTGCCTGGAGCCTTGTCCATTTTAATATATGCAGCAAAAAAGTTCAAACTGAAACTTATTCATCTTCTCTGAATCGTGGCAAAGTTTACAAAGTTGACACAAGCTCAGGAAGGAATCCCACTCCAGCAGCAAAGCTTCTCCCTAGAACATCCCCAGTCCTGCAGAAGCTCACACCTGGGCCTGAGCTGTCCATCTTCCACACATGCATTCATCTTCCAGAAACATCCTTAGGCATCCTGTGGGCTCTGCTCTGCTTTAAACCTCACATTAGCATCATCGAGGGAAAATATAAATTTAAACTGACACAGACTTGCTTGTCTCTTCCTTTGTGTTTAAACACAGATGGTTGCTTTTGTTGTGCCGCCGCATTTCAGCCAATGCAAGCAGCAAAGTACTTAACTGGAATATATATCTCTTTTCCTTTCCAAACACTCACAGGGTTTTGTTGAGTTTTTTGTTGGTTTTTTTTTTTTTTTTTTTTTTTGGTAGGTGAAGTATCATTCTTCAGAATATATACAATGTTTTCATGCATCTTAATCTAATCCATTAGTCCTTGTAATTTATTGTTAACTGCTTGGATGTAGAGGCCATGACAGCTTTGAGTAAAGCATTTAAGCAGGCATCTGCTTTGTATAAATTATAAGAACCTTGGTCACACAAGGTTTCAGACAGAGACAGAGGTCTCTTACCAGCATCTGTAGCCTTGGGGGTAGTGATATTTTAGTCTTTTTTTTTTTACTGTAAGAAGCTTTGGATCTTGGAAACAGTAAAACTATCTGCAGACTTGCATTTACTTTTGTATTTGGTATTGTTAACAGCTCCAAGGCAGGAGTAACGTGATTGGCATGGGGTTTGGGAGCTGGAAAACACTTTGTTAGTCTCAAATCAGCTCCTTGGAGGCTAAAGCCCTGATTAACTAACTGGAGTGGATTGTTTTAATCTGACTGCAGTAGTATTTTATGTCTGGTCATTTAGGCTTATTTCTGTAAATACTTCAATAAGCCTGAATCAATTCCTTCAATGTCTCCCTTCATCTCCTGCCATCGGACATGGCATGGTGTCATGACATAAGGTAAGCAGAACAGCAGGATCAGGGAAAAGATACCTTGTGCCACTGAGCAAGGAACTTATTTGTAAACAGGAGAGCAAAACTAAATTCTCAGTATTATCTTAATATACTCCAAAGCCCTTTCTCTCCTCTTTTGATTATCCTCCTGGTCTTTGGCTATGAGACATCTGAATGGACACCAAGATTTTGTTGGGGATACACAGACGACCAAAGGTCTTCTGTACAAATACTCTTGTTGCCTTCTCACTTGTGCCACTTAGATTAATTTGGCTCACTCCTGAAGATTTCTGTATTGCACATTTCCTCACTAAACCACAAGAAGTCTGCTGGAGCAAACTAATTGAAGCAGAGTACTCTGCATTTCACTTTGGCACCGTCATTCCATGCCGCAGACAAACAGTTCAGAGTTAATAAGAATGCCATGTCAGGGATGCCAGTCACCAAGGTGAAATGCAATGCAGTGGTGGACAAGCCTGGTGAGTGGTTTTCCTCTTCAAAAGTAGCTTGGAGACGTGGCTTCACTCTCCCTAGTACCTCTGGCTGCACAAAGGCAGAGCTGTGAAGGTGATCGGATCACAGCAAATCTACCCAAGTGCAGAGCTTTGGTTTAATTTTTTTTTATATCAATGGCTGGTCTCAGCTCTAATTAACCTACTCCCCTATCAGTCCATTCCCTCCCCACATGCTGCCTTTTCCCCTTCCTCCCTGTGATCTCCATTTCACTGCAGAGATGGCCTGGCAAAGAGACATTATTCTATTTAGAAGCCGAGCACCTCACTAGGGGTGACAGGCCTGTTTTTAGGTCATTTATCTAATTGCTCTTTGCAGATAAGAATTAATTAGCCCGATTATTTTTCTTAGTTTTTGGATGGGTTCCCCACCTGGAGAGAAGAAATTCCTCTATGTCAGTGATTAATTGCTGAGCCAGAAGCTTTCTGCCTTGCATTTGTAATAAATGCCGACTAGTTCTTTAGGTCGCATTAGGAACCAGGCAGATTGCGGTTAAAATGCACGGGATAATATAGCATTTCCACAAACAAGATCACTGCCATTAGATTTTGATTAAATATTTTAATTTATCTGGAGGTTGAGGGGCTGCAGGAATCAAGAGGTTTAAGGTCTCCTATTCACAGCACTTTCTGATGAGAGTCGCCCCACAGCCCTTTGATCTAAAGCAGATGAACCTCGTGGCAATGCTTCAGCTCAGGATTTGGCACAGCTGGTTTGTCTCATACTGGTCTGAGAGCTCAGAGGGCTGTGAGTGTGCAGCCAGCTCAACTTGGTTGTGATAACATTTTGTGAACTACAGGAGTCTGGTGGAGCTGAGGGAGGAAAGGTTAAGATTTTTGTGTGAAATTATGGCAGGCTTATATCCAGCTGCGTTTAATGCAGGAGAAGTTATTTTCATTTCCCTTTTTCCTTCCCCTTTTTCTTCCCCTTCACATTCTCCTTCCCTTTTTCCTTTCCCTTTCTCTTCCCCCTCCATTGCCCTTTTCTTTTTTTGTTTCCGTTCCCTTTTTTCACTTTTTTATTTCCATAAGAATTCTGAGCACTCAGCCCAAAGAAAAAAATCTATTTTTTCTGCAGGGCCAACTAAAGACAAACAGTGTCCTCGATTCACAAGCTGGTCAGCCTAGGACAGGTCTCTTTTCCAGGATTATAGAGCAAGCCAGACAGTATGATCTCCTGTGCCCTTGAAACCTGATTTCTGACCTAGAAAGTTCATGGAAGAAAATTGGAGTCTTGCCATCTATTTTGCTGTGCTTGTGAACTGTTTGAAGCCCCTGATGTCCCAATAGGAGAAATTAATTGCTGGTGTTAGAGCAGCTTCTCTGATCACAAAAGATGTGGAGCTGCCTACGCCGTGGTGATCATTGCTTCCTCGGAGAGACGAGGGGTGGAAAGGCACAGGGATGAGATCCTGGGTCTGAGTCCCTCTGTCTCACAGCTCAGAGGTGTTAGGAGGGCAGCTCAGGGCATCTGCCACCAAAGACCTTTGCTGTGTC